CCCCCCAGGTACACCGGCGAGGGCATGGACGAGATGGAGTTCACAGAGGCTGAGTCCAACATGAACGACCTGGTCTCTGAGTACCAGCAATACCAGGACGCCACCGCTGAGGAGGAGGGAGAGTTTGACGAGGAGGAGGAAGATGACCAACAAATGGAATAGACCTCTGGTAGTGCTGACCAACGCGTGACTGACCAAAGCACTACTGAGTCAGGGCACCGAGCTATCTGATTCTTCTGAATGTTACTCCCGGAGTCACTCAAAAACCCATGGGTAAATTTATGCTCCATGCGCTCTTTATAAATGTATTCTCAATGCTCTATCAATAAATTTAATGTTCCGTGTTGGTTTTGTGCTCTATGGTTTTTCGTAATAATCAGGGGCTTGTGGGCATACCTTTTGGAATACCTGCTAGACTTGTACTTCATTGTTTTACAAACAAAGAAGTTTCTTGGTACAGCGGAGTGGCCCCTAAAGAACTTTTTAAAGTGATTTCTCAAGATTCTGGTTATTTTGATTTTGTTTAGACTATTATTACAACAAAACGGACCAACTTATTCAAATAACAACCTTGAAATATTGTGTAAAACTAACATGATTAAAAAAAATAAATCCTGCTGCAGTTTCGTAAAAAAGAAGTTCTCAAAACTTGGCAGAAAGGGAATTTTTGTGTAATGTTTAGCTGAACAGACAGGCTTAAGTGCCGGTGGAAGGGGGCTCGCACCTCGGCAATTGTTGCAGACAATAAAGTCCTCTATTGATCACAACAAAGTGTTTCATGTTCGCTTTACTCAATTTGTATTGTACGCCCATAGTTTTTTTAAAATGTGCGTGTAAATCTCAAACTTTTTCAACTACATAACCAACCTCTCTGTCTGTCTGTCTGTCTGTCTGTCTGTCTGTCTGTCTGTCTGTCTGTCTGTCTGTCGGTCTGTCTGTCGGTCTGTCTGTCTGTCTGTCTGTCTGTCTCACAGATATCTGGTCTGTGTCCTGTGCCCTATGTCAGTTGCAATCCTCGTGTAATCGGAGCGTCTTTTCTTTTTCAACATAACAGTAGAAGTAACAATAAGAGGGCGTCCGTCAATATCTGACGACGACCAATGCATCTGCCGAGGAGACTAATTCTCAAATAGAAATAGATTCTAGAAGAAATAAGGATGAAGATGTTTAGTGGCTTTTACTACTGCAATGGTCAAAGTCAAAGAGTCCAAGTCCAAATTTGGAAAGAGAAGAGTGAGCCACATTTTGAGCACACAGAAGCCTCATTTCCACTTGTGATTGTTCGTAGCTTGTGGGCTTCACTCTTCGTTTCAGCATTTGTACCTCTTGAAGTCTCATACGATATGCTGCCCTCTGTGATTGCCACTCTCCAACTGGGCCTGTCAGGAGCTAGACTTTCTCATATGAAAGAATGAGTGTTGAAAGGCGTTTTCAGGGTGTCTTTATGGCGTTCTTTTTAGGTGCACCAACTCAGTGCTTAAAATCATAGACACCGATAATATAATAATATCGATAATATAATCTTTATGGTGACAATGATAATAATAACATTAATAACAGTAACAACAACAACAACAACAATAATAATAATAATAATAATAGCAGTTTCATTACCTTACTTATTAGCATTACCATTACTATTATATTATGTTTATTATTATCATTATTAACATCATTATAATTAGCATCATTATAACCTTTGTAACAGTAATGATTAGGACAGATTACATTTCAACAGACGCAAAACAACTAGAAACATATCAACCATATTTATTGAAAAATAGGGCCTATACGCAGTGAAGTACAAATATAATTCACCTTATAATTTAAAAAAAATTCCTATTACAGATTAGCAGATGTTAGACTCAACATGAACTACGTCCTGAGACAACATTGCACGAAGTTCCTTTATATTTGAAAAGATAAACGATATCAATATTACAATATTCCAGTATGCAGAAAGGTCTTGAGCTGGGATGATGATAGCGCGGTGATTTGATGATGATGGTAGTTGTAGTTGTGGTGGTCGTGATGGTGATGATGATGATAATAATAATGATGTTGATGATGATGAGGATGATGATGATGATGATGATGATGATGATGATGATGATGATGATGATGATGATGATGATGATGATGATGATATCTTTTTTGTTGCTGTTTATTTGGCAAACTAACATTGCATCGGACGAAAAGTCTACACATAACAAAACTAACATAGCAATTATGAAACGTCCATCCTAGTTAGGTGCAGGTGCCTACGAGGCTGTCCTTGTTACCGGAGTCACGTGCTCGCGAGGGCAAATTTTCGGTGACGTAAACACATGTGTCCATGACGTCATTCTCTTCACAACGTCATCTGAAGCTCCACATAACGGAGAGCTAATGATGGAAAGAAAAAAACCCCAAAAAACATTTAGTAGTTTTTAAGTGTAACTCTCTGTATTGTCTATTAATTGGGAAAGTGTGGGGTGCTGGTTGTTGGGAGGAGGTGGGAGTGTTGAGGTTAAAAGACAGTAGGGGAGTGGAGCGAGGAGGAGGAGGAGGAGGAGGAGGAGGA